TAAAAGATCGTGAAAAAGATTTTTAATGTCTTTTTACAGTTAAATTTCAAGTTACCACATACTCAAAATGAAAATAACCATCCCTCTCTCTCTCCAAGATATAAAATAGTGTAAAAAAAACATTTTACAGTTAAGTGAATTAAAATACCAATGGCAAAACCTCTAAAATTTACTATTGAACTGTGTGGTAGAAAACAATGCAATATTGATTTGCCTTATTGTAACACAGTGTAAAAAATTTGTATCTTTTATGTGCACTACATGGAAAGACATAATAGCAAGCACCACTGAACTCACAGCATAGCATCTTAATGACCTATGTGGCTAACTTAAAAGATGATTATGTAGAATTGTGCTTTATCCTGTGCCACTTTTGGATCCTATGCAATCGTTAAGTACACTAAAATAATTACATTTGTGTCATGTGGCTATGACCAAGTCAACAAGACTTGCAATTTAAATGAATCACTGGGGCACCATGTAAAATCCTGCTTGCTTCAAAGGGTGCCACAGAACGATGCTGTACCACTGAAAGAACGAGGAACACGGGGAGCATCCACAAAAACACTCCATTCTCAAACCTCAAGGAGAATCCTCATCTATGGCCTTTTTGCTACAAACTCTATGAAGCTTCTCTAATAGAAATCTCTCCAGCTTGTAGATACTCGTATGCACTTTAACTCCCATTGCTAATCTATAGGCGCTGCACAGGTTCAGGCTTTCACCAATGGCAAACTGGCCAACATCCTTTACCAATCACATTTGACAATGTGAATAAGAACCTGTATTGTCCTTCTTTAGCTGATCAGATTTTAAAAAAAAGTTAACCAGTTTGTAAGGTGGTTCCAGTACATAAGTTCCTCGATGCAGCAGATTGTCCTAAAAGTTGTTGCTTTTTGCTGAAAGTCCTGCTAAAATAAACAAAATATACTCCAGCTAAATTTGGGATCTTTCATTGTCCAGCTCCTCTTCTAAGCAAACTGATAGGTCAGGTCTCACAGGAAACCCTTCCTTTGACCCGTACTACTCTTGTCCAGCTCTCCTGAGAACACCACCAGCTACTCCAGTTCGAGGTCATTCAAAACGTGAAATGTGATCTGATAGTCAAGTGCTATTAGTCTGAAGTCACGACTTAGTCAGTAAGTGTAGATTTCTTAAACATCTCTTTGCATGAAAACTGAGTGTTCCAGTGCCACATAAACACTACTACAGATTTGATTCCTGTTTAGCAAAGACTCTAATGCTATTACTACAGGCTGGTGCCTTTTTACCAAGACAGTGCAAGGGCTGGGATCTTCAAGCTCAGCTTCCCATTTGTAATAGAAACTTGTGATGCAACAGAGACATTTTTATTGCACTATTTTTGTTCAGAAAAGTCAGGAAGTCTTGTTTCTATCAACAGGAGCATAAAGTTCTGTTTGAGAACTTTAAACAGCTCTGCCCAGCTGCTGGAAGCAATTCTTTCACATTTATTTTTCACCTGCAAAGATAACTCTTTAACCCTTTATCACAAACTCAATTCATTTTCCTCCTTCAGCCTCCACATTCTTCATCTGGGATACTCCTAGTCCAAGGCCACTCAAAGTCAAACAGCTAGGAAAGATGAGCTGAGCATTCCTTGAGTTGCAGAGCAGCTGCACAAAAAAGGAAAATTAGATTTTTCAAGTGCCAGACAATACTTTTAATCTGCAAAAACATGAAAATGACTGTGTGTAATATTATGAGGCATCTTTAACTCTTTCTGTACGGAACTTCATTCTGACTCTTTTCAATTGGTTTTAATGTGTTTAGTATGAGCAGGGGATCACTTACTTTGATGCATTACTGCATTACTGAGAGTTCCTGGCGTGAGCTAACCACTTGCTGCCTACATTTCTGCATTGAATTGAATCATAAAAGAAAATCAAGATTTTCCACTTTATTAATTAAAACTAGTAGAAGAAACAAGTATTCTTATACAATTACAAATTGACATGCTTTGAGTAATTAAACAACATGCATATTTGACTTTTAACTGGATCTCCATTTCTATAAGTCCAAGCACATACTGGGAAAGGTCATGCACTATAAGACTGTCGTTAGAAACTACTGGTTCAAAATAAGGTAGCTTTCTCTCCCATTTTTATTCAAGTCATAAAAGGTTCCTGCCTAACAGTTTAGTGCATGACCCTTTTCAATAACAGGCAGGTGACAGCAATTAGAACAACACAGGCATTGTTCTGATAGAAGTAGTTCCATGTCGATATCTGAAGCACCTACAACCAGGTGCTTCCACCACTTCAGGACTGATTATTCACTGTACCTTTTATACATTCTTGACCATCATTAGATTCCTCATGAGTTGTCAATCTTTTAAATTTTTTTTAAAATTATACCGTCTTACACAAAAACTATAGAGGAGCTGATGATAAAAGAATTACTAGGGGAAAACACTGTGCTTATGCTAAACTCTTTTCAATCATTTACCTTTGACCACATCTTTCCTCACTGTTCTTGATCTGCTACCGCCCAGGATCATATGACAAAACAAAACAAGATATGAGTGGGAACCTAATCTTCACAACTCTTAGCTTTTTCACAGCCTTACTAAGTAGTATTGGTGCATATGTTCCTTCACTACATTTAAATTCACAGTATGACTAACCAACTATTGACCAATGCCACATTTTAGCTATGATGTTATAATCATGAAATACACTTATGATGCAATATTACATATTTTCTGAAGTAGGACATGAACTCAAGAGGGGAGAGGACGTAAGAAGTGCTTGTTTGCATCTGAGAAGGAGCTACAAGGAGTGCAGTGTACTGAAACTGACCAGTATAGCTGCTACAAAAATACTACTGCCCTCCTCTTTTAAATATATAAAGCAGTAGATTTAATTCAGTGTGTCCTCAAAATTACCCCATTATCTGTATATTTACATTACTATTTCTTTTGCGATTCTAAAATGAATTGCTCCGGTATAGTTCCCATAGCTCCTATTTCTATTCCCTCCTGTTTAACTTGGACCAAAACATTCTGACCTCCACCAAATCTCATTAGCACTTCTGTAGGAATGTTCACCAGTTATTTCCACCACAACAAAGAGGCAAATTAATTCCAGAAAACCAGAACCTTTTGATTAAACTGTTTTCTCAAACCTTTTTGCTCAATAGCAAAGACAGAAAAGGATGAGGGACTAGGATCAGGGCCAACTAATTTAATGGTAGTTTTAAAAATGATAAATGAGGAGAGCAGGCCCTATTATCATGCTTTTCCAGTTTACTGCTTTCGAAACATTCTTCCTTTTTGTTTAAAACAGAAACTTCGATTCATAAAAAAAGAAATATTAGAGGTTTAGCCCTAGTACTACTTCTATTTAACTGTCAAACTTTGCTACAAGCCTTTATAGAGAAAGAATCATGAACAGAGAAAGTTAGATATTAAAAAGCTTTGCATATCAGTTGCATTCTTTTATATACTGGTAAACACTACTCCTTTTTTTTTTTCCAAATCTGAATTATGAAATAGTTTTTCTTCAAAACTATTTTTCTTCTCAGCTGGCAAGATTTTTTCCCATCTTGATTTAGAAAAAAACCCCCACATCTTCAAGGAACGACATGATACATATCCTTTATAAAATTAATTTAAAAGAAAAAAAAAAAAGGTGATGATGATCTGAAACCTCTTTTTTTTTTTTTTTAATGTCATGGGTATTGGTGTTTTCCTGTATTGAAAAATATATAATTTAGCGAACTGGAGATACAGCTAAGCATTTTTTAACAAATTAACACTTTGTTTGCCATCAGTAATGAGTCAACATTTCCTTAAAAGAAAAAAAAAATGCTAGCTATTACTACAATTACTTTTAATCTATGTCATATATAGGACACAACTTAGATGCCTGCAAACGGAAATGCATAGGTGACCCCACCCTTGCAAAGACCCAATTATGCCACCGGGGATCCATTCACCCACACTCATCCAATTAGGTGACCATACCTGAATACACTGATCTACAACAGACAACCTGAAATGTCTTCTGTATCTCATCTATCTCACAACAACACATTGACATACATATTGGAAAAAACATCCACATAAATGTTCACATTTAAATCTAACTAGAACAAATCAATAATCATAATGAAATGCTCACTTCTGATTCTTGTAATTTCATAAATTTGCCTCTATATTCTGGCATTTTGTTAACTAACTTGTAAAAAAATATCTATTTTCACATACATGACAATGTTGTTTTTTTCAATATTAAACAGTCCATTAACACAATTTTAAAGTAAACATTTTGACTAGCATCACGACAGTAAAAATCACAACTATGGAAAGACCATGGGGACTTTAGGAAACCTGAATTATAAATTCTGTCATAGCCTAACATGAGTAACATCTACTTTTAAGATACCTATTTTAAAATCTGTATATTTCGCAAAATATAATTAATGCATTTATTTCCTAGGAATGTGCTGGATCATGTTTGAGAAAATAGTATTTGTTAAGTTGCTATTAAGTTTTAGATCCAACTAGTTTCTTCTTGTCCTGTTGGTTTTATGAGCTAATTAAGCTCAAAGTTAAACTTCAGAAAGACAAGCATACCTCAAAGGGACACGGTGCCCTATCACACAGTAATGAGTTATGGTTCTGTCAGTAACATGGCTCCAACTAAACTATTTGTCTCTCTGACATTTTGAGGCTTGTAAGTTGTCCCATGGTTGGGAAAAGTCACTAGGTACAAACCACTCAGTTATTTTTTTCCTTTCAGCTTAAGAAATGCCGAAGAGCTGTACAATTTAACCTCTATGCAGACATTAAGATCTAATACTTCTCTCCTATAAAATCTCAGGTTAGCAAGAGAGGCAAACCCCTCAGGGATTTGATCTGTTATAACACAGAGCAAAGTGATGTTAGGCTGAGAACTCAGGAGCACACAGATTAATTACAGAAAGCCTTGGTCCATACTGCACTGCATGAGAAGGCCATCAGAACCAATGTACAGTACCTTTCATCTTGTCCCAGATCCTCACTGTCTGGCATTGCAGATGTAAAGGAATTATGTCTCCCTCTCTCTACCAATCTAGATAATCCAGGCAACGATCTTCTAGTCTGTTTGGTGTTTGAGAAGCAACAGCCCAGGCACCTGTCCTGTTTGCTGTCAAGAAGAGCACTCCTTGCTCAAAGAGCAAATGTTTACAAGACATCCTAAGTGCCTGCTGGTCTTGAATGAAGTTCAGAGCGTTCAGCTTTGATTGGCCAAGGCTATAAATAAACAGGTCGTGACTCACCTCACACACTATGACAGGGTGTTTAGTAGCAAGCACTGCCAAAAGCAAAACAGTTGTGGTTGGGTTTTTTTTCCCTTTAGTCATGTGAGGGAGAATCACCACCCAGTTAGTACATTTTATTTTTTTGCTTCTACTGGAAATCTTACTCAATGTCTCCCATTTTTCTCGGGTGTAAGTGAGCAGCAAACAAAATGATAGGAAGGTAAATGACACAAACTTTGAAGTAACGCGCTTACGAATAGAAGTTGCTGTTACTGCAACTGTAAAAACATCCTTTTTCCCGTCCCCACGAAGTGTCAGTCACAGGCTGTCAGAAGAGCAAAATTCTCCACTGACTAAATTCACAGATGAAACAAAAACTTAGCAATTCTTTTAAAATAAGGAATAAGAAAACAAGTTTTCAATAAAGATTAATGCATTGCTTTTAAATTCAGATTCTAAGCTTGCCTGCCACAAGCAATCTCAGCTGTCACAGGGATACCAGCAAACTGTACTGTTAATGAAGTTTTCATCCTCAAAATGAAAGTAAGCTGACAAGAGATTTTCTGCCAAAATATTTCTAATGCCTCTGTGAACAACTTAAAGCGAATTGACAAATTCACTTTCCTCATATCGCTTTTTGCTGTGTGCATGACAAGGATTCTGTCACTCCAGCTACACCAGCTACATTTCTATTAATTTTCAACACCCCAGCAACCTTATCTGTGCTGATGAAGCTTTGTAGTGCAGCCCAAGACTCCTAGGATCACATATGTAGGTTGTTCAGCACATTGCTCAGCACTGCTCCTTCATGTGGCTTCCTTCTTCCATTAAACAGTGTGACCTATTGTTCCTAATATATTTTAAAACAAATACTACATCTAGAGATCTTCACACAAAAATCTTTTCTTCTAGGAGGGAACCCAGCAAGATTTAGACCTGCCTCTCCTGCATGAGTTAGTAGGAATTGTCCTGGGGATGTCACATCTTAAAAATAAATTAAAAAAAAAAAAGCAAAGCTGGAACAAAATGTATGTCAGATTAAACACCACCCACCCCATATTTTGATTTGCTAAGCTGTATTTGGGGCAGTGTGGGTAATGCATGTGGATAATGCATTGTGGGTAACTGGAAAGCTGCAGGAAACTATGCAGGATTCTACCCTTTCTTCTTATTTTAATAAAAAAAATGCTTCAAAATTACTAGTAAGTTCTGGACAATAATTGTCAAAATTCCCCAAGCTATATAACTATAATTCTGTTACTTTAATTTGCATGATTTATATTTACTGTGTGAGCATTTGAATTAATAGAATGATCTCAGGAAACGGTGAGAAAACTAAAAGAAACAGGAACACTGGCTGTCTGTCAATGACAACTTCCTAAACTCTGCCCCCAACATTCCAGTGAGCTCCTTTTTCCTTTTCTTAATCTCATCCCATCTTCCATATTCATACCTTTCCTCAATCTTTCACAAGACACATCTTTCCTGAAGCAGTTTAATCACATTAGACTTTTAAAGGAAAGGAGAAGAAAGAAAAACTGGAATAAAGTCCTATGTCTGAATTCTGCAAGGCAGTATACAAATACATACTAATAAACATGCTGCCCTACTCAACAGAGACGTTCCATGGTCACCTATACCTGCATATTCCAATATTATCCTCTCTTTTTTTTCCTTTTCTTTTTCTACATCTGATAGTTATAGCTGAAATAATTACAGCTGAATTTCCTTCAAGGTCACCCTGAAACAACAGAGCTGTTAAATTACAAAATCTTAATAAAGTTTTTGTGTGACAGTTTCATTTTCAGATTAAAATTCTGAAGTCCTCTAATTAGAAAAAGAATCAAAAGAAATAACTGCAATCCGCAAACACACAAAAGCATCATTGAAAATGTAAATGTAGTATCAAAAATGAAAGCAAGCAAAACTAACCCCCTTGGTGCAACGTGAATTGCTTTTGTTTGTCTACATACACTGCAATATAGTCTTACACAGCCACATGGATTTACCATGTAAAATGTCTTTTTACAGAATACTCTTTTTTTAATGTATTTGATGATCACACTCAGGAGCTGAAACGCATTCAGTACTGTATCTGTCCCTGTATTTCAGTCTTGGACGCGAGGTACTCCAAACTCTTCAAGTACAACTTTGGACTGTTCATTTCTTTGTCATACTCTGTAAACAGTACTCACCACTACAGCAGAAAAAAGGTTCACTGTTCAGTTTTACAGTTCCTTAGAACTCTATCCCAGCCCTCAGTGAGGTAAGGAGAATAATAACACCTTATTTACTTACTGATAAGTAAGGCCTGGGAAGATTAGGTTCAAAAGTGTCTACTAAATGAGTACCTAACTGAAATGTCAAGGACCTGTTAACTTGGAAGTCAAGCACTTATAAAACACTTCAATACTCAAAAACTAGTTTCCACTGATATCACTACTCATAATTTTTGCAAATCAGACTTTAGAACAGCATGAGTGCATAATTAGCTGAACTGCAATCACACTAAAGTACTTTGCTTAGTATCTCAAACATTCATCTCAATTTTTTGATAATTCTGAATTCTTATGTACCTGAGGGAATTACAGTTTGTATGGGTCCATCTGGAGGTTTCCAGCAGATCAGGCTCCAGACTTATTTCACAGCCGCATGAGATGGAATGATGTCGCCAAGTACACTTGGGTGGAACAGCAGCAGTGAGCAAAAGTACTGTACTGAATCAGGCCAAAGGGCTTCTGGCATCTCCTTACTGTGTCCAAAAGCTCAGCCTAGGGAAAAATGCATTGCTGCCTTCTCCAAATAGTCTTCCAGACTACAGCTTGTGGCTCACTGGTTTCCTGAACCAGCAGTGATGTCTGTATTTTTAGCTCTGACTGGATTTCCATTCTGTGATAGCATCTATAACATCTTGTGGCAAGGACTTCTGCAGCTTAACTAACTAGGGTTTGAAAACAAACCAACCAAACTGCACCCAATTTTGTTTGCTCTGATCTAGCCACTTCAACTGATTTCTAAGAAGACTTACACTGAAACAGGTAGATGCCAGTTATCTCCCCTTAGCTTTTCACAGCTATTTATAATTTTTGCAGACCGTTATCATATTCTTTCGGACAGGACTGCAGAATTGAAAGACGGAGCTGCCTAGAAAAGAGCTTGCCTGGTATTCGAATTGCTAAAAATCAGTTTAAAACTTTTTCAACATGGAAAACACAGAGTGACAAGAAATGACAAAACTGAGGATGGAAAACTTCTTTCCCTTCCCAAGTTACTTTTCAGGAAGGTTCTTACTTCTTTGCTTAGTTGCAGCTAATGTTACAACTTTCTGAATTGCAGAAGACTTTGGTCAGCCCTCTCTGTCTTTTCTAAGTTCCTTCTTGCCATCTCTGAGGCCTCAATTTACATGACTAATTCCTGCTCCTCTCAGCAACCTCTTTGCTTGAGCTTCTATCTTCCAGTGTTGCTATGTCTCACTTCTCACATCCAGCATTTTCGGAAATTTTCCCAGTCCTTGGCTCCATTGGCTCCTAAATAGAAGGAACATCACTTTTTCCCTTATAGTGAGTTCTTCCCTCTAACCCCATTACTTCTGAAAGGAACATGAAAGCTCTTGACTTTGTAATCAAAAGGAAAAAGAGACTATGGATCATGTTGTGCTCTTCACAGCTCAACCAGCTTTAAAAGCCTGGTTTTTGCTTACTTGTTTCATACATGTCAGTTCTTGCATGCCTTCAAATATCCTCACTGTTCTTGTCCAAACTCCTCCTACATTTACTGTAACTGATTTTAGGTGGGAGAAACCAGAGATGTACACCACTAATCCCAGTGAGGACGTTCTATTGATTTATGTATTTTGACCCTTTCTGTGAGGTGTTCCTCACGCTCTGTTGGCCCTCATTACTATATTTTTACACACAGCCTTCCAGACCTTTTTTTATTTTTTAAATAAAAAATGCCCTTTTTTTTTTATTTTGTTTGGATAATTGTAAGGATCAATCCTTCCTACTTCCGTTCCTCTCTGTTACCCTGTTCTTCAACTAAAGAGACCTCTTGTAGACCTTTCTCAAAACTTCCATGATAGCTGGTAAGTAATGGCTCTCTTTACCTTGAGGTATTAAGAGGCGCCAAAAGATCTGCTGGCATACAGATCATTTGCCAGCCTGACATATTGCTTTATCAGGGAATCTTCCCAGTTTCTGTCTTGCTGAGTACAGATTTAGACTGAACATGTATCATAATTATCAAGTAAATTGACTTCCCCATAAACAGTAGAGACATCTATGTGAATTTTTCCATTTACAGGCAGGCACCAAAGTCTTCAGAGGAAGTCACCAGCAAAAGAAGGAAAATAGAAGTTATGTTCTTGCCAGAGACAAGTGTGGCCATTTGCTTCCCCCCTGCCCCAGCTCAGCCCAAGCCGTAATCACCAGTGGGGGTCGTGATGGCTGCATCTAGCTTAGGCTGGACTTTGGGGGATGGATGGCAACATGGCAGCCAAGCACTGTCTGGAACAGGGACCCAAATGTCTTGCTGGTATGCAAATATGACTCTAAGTCAATCATCTTACTCTATAAATAGTAGACAGCCCAGGACCCGTTGAGCTCTCCTGCATGGCAGCAGGCTGCACGCCAGGGTCTCCCCTTGAGTAGGGACGCCTCTCAAGGTTACGGTTAAGAGATTTCTTGTCACAACAGATTCTCAGTAAGTGATTAATAGCATGCTGAACTTTGAAGCCTTAGCCAAGTGATAGAAAGGATTGATTGCGCATATATAATCCTTTAGACATAAACCATCGACCAACTTTGGGACTAGGATTGGATCCAGCCACACCCAGACTTCACTCTGAGAAGAATTCTGGAAAGCAAGGGGGTCCTCTCTAAACCTTGTGACTCAATGGGAGGGTCTCCTGGAGGCATCTGTCTGACCCTGTCCTTGATGCAGTAAATAACCAAGTTTACCGTACCA